AGTCTGCATTTCATTTTACAGTTTTTAAATTGGGAACAGAGCAAGTTCTACTTGTAATTTTTTCTTAGTAATGTGGCGGTACAATGTGGCAGTGTTTTATTCAATGGTGTTAGGTTAATAGTATTGTATTGTACATGTATATTGAAGAGTTCTTGAGGAACTGAAAGTTAATACCATTGTAACCTGTGGCTTCTATCTCTAATGACATTTGGATCTTTAAAGTATTGTTATGGGAGGCTCAAATCTAAATAATTGTTCCTAAGTTTTGCATAATTTTTGACTTGAATTTTCCCATGCAACTGGAAAGTAAGACTTGTACACATAGTCAGTGAAAGCTAGTTGTCATGTTTAGGTCTCTGCAGTTTTCGAACCTTTTCTAACAACATTGTCATCTTTCAGATCTTTGACCAATATGACAGCTGAACTCCAGTAACATACAGATCAAAAACTATGCGGATCAAAAATATCAGTGTATACAGAACAATTAAGTTTTACTCTCGGGACTCACGATTCCGGAATAATAGCCATGTAAAAAATTGAACTCTATTTCCACCCAAAATTGTTTCGTGGTCCATGTTTCAGGTGTCTTAAATACAGCTGTAAGAAGCTCACAATAACTCAACTTTGTAATCTTGTCAAGATATGCATAATCTTGACAAGATGGCACCATTGAAAATTCACACCACTATTTCTGGAAATGTTGAAAAATTCATTGGAATATCTTGGGAAATCTTCTGTAAAGTTTCAGAAATTGTTGGCATGTCTTCAATAGTGTTTGGAAGTAGTCAGATATTTTCAGGAAATTCTGGTAATATGGATATGGAAATCACCTACATTTGACTTAGGAGAAGTTGGCAGGTATACACCAACACTTAAATCTATGTTTAACATCCTACTGACTTAAGACACTACGTACCTGTATAATTATTAGTACACTGAAGTATATAAATATTATATCTTGTTTTGTAAACGAATTTGTAAATATAGGAAATGGATATGCTGTTCAGTCTCTGAAAGTTTTGTCAGTGTATTGCTATGAGTATGAAACTAGGACAAAGCACAGCCATATATGGATGTGTAACTGGTATTACTGTTTTAGAACCCCAAAAAACCTAGTGCATAATTGAGTTCTCTGATCAATCATGAAACCCATCAAATGTCCCCCGACATTCTCAAGAAAATCAGTATTGGTTAAAATAAGTGTGAAAAATGTACTTTAACCACTATCCTTTGTATCCGGGCATCGTGACCTCATTGTTAGTGAGCTCATCTCTGTATTGAGCAACCCAGGCTTGAGCCCTGGCCTGAGACATCATGTTGTATTATTGTGCAAGACTACTCTCACAGTGCCTCTCCCCACCCAGCTATATAAATGGGTACCCACAAATTTAATGCTTGGGGTAACCCTGTGACGGACCAGCATCCAATCCAGGGGGGAGTAGAAATACTCATAGTTGCTTCATACAACAGAGGCCAGAGATAAGTGCCGGCCTAGTTGATCACCTGGCTTGCATGCAGATTTCACCTTAACTCACATATTTAGTTAGATATTAATGATAGCATAAAGGGCATTGCTTAGACTTAGTGGATAAGATGGTCCACCTATGGAGCAGAATTTGATGTAATGGCCTCACTGCTTCACAAAAACATTAACTTCTAGCTGGAATTTCTCAAGGAGAATTAACCACAACCTGGCTATTTTATTGATATTACCAATATTATACATCCGTTTACCACCACCAGTGAATCTTTTTTTCTACACAGCTTGATCATGACAGACCACAGCTGCATTCATCCTATTAATGCATGACCAGTCAGTTAATAAATGCATGTGTATGTGCACTGTACACTTTGGCAGAGTAAATCAAAATTCACTGCTCATTTATTGCATGCCCCCAAAATGTCACAAAACTCTACTCAGGTGTACTCAGGTGTGTTTGGGAATAAGATGGATATTAATATAAATTGATTTAGGAGAGGTATTTTGGAACAGACAGGTTTTTTGCATGGACCCTATTATTAAGGTTGATTGAAAGTACACTGCAGCATTCTTGATAACGTTTAACAACTCAACATGTATGTACGAACAAAGTCGATATAAGACATACATTTGGTCTTCATGTAAAAGTTCTTCTTTTGATGAAGTTTTATATTACTTTAGAAACTGGTCATTAGCTTACCAACTAGATGTAGTTTTGAAGTCATGCAGAATTTATGTAAGTTATCAGTATTCATTAAGTAGCGACTGCATGATCAGGCTGAAGAAAAATGTTTTCAATCGGTGTAAGCTTATTTGGCATTTTAAAATTGCTTTTCTTCATGTTTCCACGAAAACCGAATTGAATAAAAGCTTCTTCCTACTCCTATTCAGTCGCCAATATACCAGAGTGGAATCACTCGTTGCATTATTACGGACACCTGTTGTTTGACTTCGTTACCGATATTGGCTCACCTTTAATATGATCACTTGTCCGAGGTCTTTTTTTTCTCTCAGCCTCTATAATGATCCTTTCTTCTTTACCTTACAACTGTAATTAGTATATACATACTCAGTGATCTTGGTGTTGAAAGCAATCTGATTGGCCAATTGAGTACTATTGACTTATTCACTCCCTACCGAGTGAATAATGCGTGATCCAAGCACAAACAAAATGGCCGGCATAAACTCGCGTTTCGCAGTGTTTATGAATCGGAAATCCTGCGTTTATGTAAGTAGATAAGAAGGCCAGTGCTGTATCAGAAAATACCAAGAGGGCTACGAACTTTGGCTTGAAAGTTTTGAAAGGAAAAAAAAGACTTACCAACGTTCGACGTTTGAGCAGTTTCTATAAAGCAAACCTGACCGCCAAGTCTTTCTTCGCTCGGTGTGGACTGAAATGAATACCGCGGGTTCATTCGAAGGAGCATCAAGTGCTATTCAACAAAGCATCGCCACAAATATCTAGAAGAACGTCTTCGTACAAAGAAACATCCAGTTTTCATTTCACCACAGTCCTGCACACATGGTATTTTAGATGGATCCCTCCCCAACTGCTCATCTTTCAATTTTCGTTTCAAGTGAACTTCAAAACTTTGAATGAACGGTGAAAATGCGTTGCAAGCGGACTTCCGATGTAGATTGCTGATGTGAACGGTGTTAAAGGACCATTTTGCTAGGCCGTGACCAAGATTTTATCGAAGATGAAGTAGATTCGCCATGTTTGAAGATTCTGTAAATAGTTTAATTTGGCGCCCTGGTTTCGCGCATGCATTGCGTTTGCACGTTTTCCACGCATGAATAGAGAGGTCAATTTAATCGACTTTTAATGGTTTCCTTCTGGAGATCGGCTGTTTTTGAGATCATTTCGTGTATATATACTAAAACAATTCGGTGGATAGCTGCAGAATATATCACCTGACCTCGTTCCAAGCAGACCGCCATGCATTTTGCTGTGAAATGCAGTACTTCGATTATCATCTGCTTCAATCAAATCTCCTTTGAAAAGCTCTGGCCGGTGAATGAGAGGCTAGGAACCATGAGGGGATCGAGATGATCAAAAATTTCTGACTTAAACTTTGTTGAATGATTTAGATGAACGTACAGTAAGAAGAACTACGAAGTTGACCACATGTATATACGGTGTTTCAGTCAAAAAGCCTGAAAGCCTCCAGCGATTTCAGTGCATTTTTTTTGTCTTCCAAATCTTCCAAAAAGTATAAGATCTCCTGATTTTGGGAGATTTCGAACAATTTTCACACGTTTCCATGCAATCATTGTCGTATCATGCATATCAAGAGGTCTTGATCTGGTCTTAATGGACATCTCTAGTTCCCAGTCTACGTACCCTTTTAAGGTGATTATCTCTCTGCGGTCTGCTCTCGGAGCGTTTGATATTTTAGATTTGCATCGATACTTTCATTTGCACTGTGAACTAGCCGCTAGTTTGGGCTTTAGCGTTAATCTTAATGTGCCATTGTGCAGAGTGTATAGATTTTATATGGCACGTACAAGACACGGAATGTTTTATTACATGTCTTGTTAATAGTTGAGCGTTTAAAATCTTGGATAACTAAAGGCGTAAACCGGGATTTCATAAATCCTTAGACTCTACACAACGGCACAATGAGATTAAAGCTAAAGCCCAAACTAGCACTAAGTTCACAGTGCAAATGAAAAATGTCGGTGCAAATCTAAGACATCAAACGCTCCGAGAGTGGACCTGAGAGAGATAATCGATACACGAACAGTAAGTAGTTAAGTAGCCAAAAAAAAAAACGGCGGAGTCACAAGAGAGGGGTATAAAAGAGAATAAATTACTATATTTAGAGAGGGAGCCACATCAACCTTAGCAGCTGGGTTTCATACGGTTCCTCTATCCTCTGGTCGATTTGGAATGTTGGTTTTTTCGGAGGGAGGAAGACCGGAAAATCCGGAGAAAAACCCTCGGAGCAAGGCGAGAACCAACAACAAGCTCAACCCACCGATATGGCATGCACCGGGCCGGGTCTCATTAGTGGGAGGCGAGCGCTCTCACCACTGCGCCATCCCTGCTCCCCGACCACGACTTGGAATTCCTAATCCTGGTGACTCTTAAAATCATGTCTATACATACATCGTGTATATAACCAGACGTATACATTTACATGTACGACCCTATTTGTTTCCGATGTAACTGTGTGCATGTATCTGACCGAAGAATAGGCCATTTTCCGAGTTACCTTCCACCTCTGTTTCAAAACGAATCCTCGTGCAAAACCTCTCATATGAAAATTAGTTTGATTTCCATGAAAATGAATCTGTAGGGCGAACACATTTTCATATGAATGGTTTCGCACTAAGACTCGTTTTGACACTGAGACAAAAGGCAACTCCGAAATGGCCTATTCAGTTCGCCTTTTTAGGTCAGGAAAGTGGAAACCTTGGTGTGAATCATGATACATGTACATTCACTACCACGTAATTTTCCAGTTGTTTCCCTCTTTCTTTGATTAAATCAATCTAACATTTGATTCATTTTTAGCAGGAGCTTGCACTTGGAAGAAGCACGTTGTATCTTGCCAAATAAGAAGTGTGGCATACTACGTGTGGTAGAAGACTTTCAATATGCATCGCAAGATAAAATACGGTATAGTGCTATTACAATGGAAAATGATGTTTCTCACGAGAAGGGAACTTCATCTCGTCGGAATACTAGCATCTGCTTTAATAACTACATTAATTACTGGAGTGTTCGTCAAGTCTTCGCACTCTACCGCGCCTCCCAGATTTCCCAGCGGCTATATTCCTCGCCACGATTGTAAATCTTGGAAAACAACTCCGCAGCACAAAACTACTTTGATTACCAAGACTGCTTGTGAACGAGGCTATTTCCTTCTTATCCTGGTCTCGACTGCACCGGCAAATTTGGAACGGAGAAACTTAATTCGTCAAACTTGGGGTGCTGATAATAACCTGTCTGCCCCCCAGTGGAAGACATACTTTCTGATTGCTCAAACGGCGAATCAAACGCATTCGGATTTGGTCAAAACAGAAACTAAGAACTACAGCGACATAATCCGCGGTTATTATTTTGAAGATTACTGGAACCAGAGTTTGAAGATACAGATGGCTTTCGAATGGGCAGCCAGATATTGTGAGTTTTCGTTCCTATTGAAAACAGACGATGACGTGCTAGTTAACACAAGAGATTTGATAGGATTCTTGCAGAGAGGATCAACTCCTAAACAAGGGCTTTTTATGGGAAAACTGCACCACAATCCTATAGTACGTCGAGAAGGGAAATGGAATGTCAGTTATCAAGAGTACAATCACACACACTATCCAGATTTCTGTAGTGGTGCAGGCTTTGTTATGTCGTACGATGTTGTCGGGTGCCTGGTTCCTTTATTTGATGTGATCAAGCGGTATAGAATGGACGATGTCTACATTGGAATGCTAGCCAACGCGTCCGGTGTGATAGCGGTGGATCACAGCGGATTCTATATGCCAATTGATGGCTACGATGATTGTAATTTTGTGCCAAAGACTCTTGTTCAACATCGAGCTACTGGACAATGTTTGCTGAAACTGTTACGTATGCACAATAACGGTCTTTTTTATTATAGAAATATAGGGTATTATTTTTGATGTTTTTTTTATTTTTATTTTACAAAATACTATCTGCTCCCGTTTTTCTTACACATACAATGCGTTTTTGAGTTTTATCATCAATGCCCCCAGTCATTATCCTATCAAGAGGTCTTGATAGATGAATCTAAGATGAATTTTCTTTTCCTCCTTGTGGCTGTTGTACTTTTCCTTTCCTTAAATGTGACACAAAAAAGGAAGGACAAAATACAAGCACGAATCATAATAGTGATGGTCACAATATTTGGGCTAACAAAGTGTAAAATGAAGTTATTATGTAGTACTAAGTAGTAAGAGGACATAGTCCTTGCAAATTGTTCTTGAAAGCTATGGAAGTTTGAATATTCCTAGACTCGTCTGGTATAGAATTCCACAATTTTGATGCAGTTTATCTCCATGATCATAAGCCGTAAGTTGTTGATTTCGGCAATTTTGGAAGGTCCACTACAGTCAATCTTTAGTCAATCAATACCTCTGCACGAGACTCCGGGGGATAACTACAGAGTTTGTGGCGTTTATTTCCCGGGGCCTCGTGCTCAGGTCTGTTGTTTTAGACTTTTATACATAATTTTCGACTGAATTTTAATATATCGAAATGGGGCTGTTTACACTTTTTTGAGTTCGACTGGCCCGCGGATAGCTAGTGCTAGTCCAGGCCGGCCAGTCTATCAAGATCTAATGACAAAAGTTTTTATTGGTAAAATGATTACAATCAAAAATTAGGAAAATTTAAATAAAATAGAAAGGTGGGAAAAGAATATGAAAAAAAGAAGTGAGGGGTTATCAGATAAGTTAGAAAATATATATGTAAATTATTATTTTTTTTTTAATTCTTTTTTATTTACTTTTGATAATTTAATCGTGTGTAGCTCAATAAAGGAACCTTCCTCTTCGAGAACGCTTAGTAGTATATATTTTTTGATTCTGAGTTTGAATGAATTGTTTTGGTAGTTCTCTCAGAGAGCACAGTATCTCATTCCATAGTTTACCACCACCTCTTGAAAAGGCGTTTTTTTGTTTTCAAGTTTTGAAATCAGTACATGTAACGTGCCTCTATTATAAGGTTATATTTTTATGTGGAACGCCTCAATGGTGTTAAATTAATCACGTGAACTGGCTTGTCCAGGTCACATATCTAAAAACAACGTACTTATGCAAGCAGTCGCAAGCAGTCGGTGTTTATTAACACAGTTGCTGTAATTCTGAACTTACACGTCAATTTAGGCAGTAAAATGCACAAAGAAACAATTCAACGAAATGGATCCTTTGTGACTTCACGAGAAACTGTCAGTCTCACTGATCTTGTCAAAACAGAATTGCTCTTATCTGAATTTTACATCGCACTCTATTTGAAACGCTTTGTCATGTCTTGAAATAACTTTTTTCTCGAGACCTTGAAGATCATTTCTCGTCATTCTCATTGATCTCTTCAGAACAAACAACAGTTCACTTACAATGTAAAACCAGCCGCCATGTTTACTCTGTCAGATTCTCATTCTAGTAATTTTAGTTTTGTTATTCACCTCTGGAAATTATACTTAAGCAATTATTTACCCCGAGCTACTATGAGTAAAATTGAAATATCTTTTTTTAAATAAAATACTGGAAAATGGGAATTTTGACTGATATTATTATTAGTATTATTATTATTATTATTATTATTATTATTATTATTATTGTCGTTATTGTTATTATTATTATTTTTATTATTATTATGACATGCAAAGTTTTTTCATCTATCACTTTCTCTGAACGTGGATTAGTTTTGTCATGATTGTGACGTCACTTTCTTGTTTTCTTTCTTTCTTTTCTTTTTTTTTTTTTTTTTTTTTTGCTGTTCCTTTTGGTGCGAAACTGTTTACAAATTTAAATTGCAAATTTAATTCAAAGAGCGCCCACTTGATTAGATAATTATTCATTGCAAGTCTTGCTTGCTCCAAGCTTCGTTCTTCGTTCGTTTCTGTGTCTGCTAAGAAGCGAAACTTTGCTACGCAAAGCTGGTAAAACAAAAGACTGGTGTAACTTAAGGAAGACAGATATGTTCAAAAGCGAATTCTGGATACTGTGACCGTAACAACTGATATATCCAGAATAAACTGACTCGAAGGTAAGATACACGTGTTAAATTCTGAGGTCCGAGTGAAGCTAGTTCTCTCTGACTGATATTGCTGTTAAGTCTTCGTAGGATGTTTCAGTGTTCTTAGGTTGGTACAATTTCAGTAGAAATAACTTCTAAACCGATTCATTTGGGAAGAGTGGAGTTTATTCCCGAGAGTTTGATGTATTTAAAAGACTTGCATGTATTGTGATTCCTGATCTTTGACTAAATCTGACAGATACCAGTGGCGGATCCAGACTTGAGCTAAGGCGGGAAGGCGGGGGGNAGACTTTCTCTCTCTTTTTACCCAAAATGAGAAGGGGCGGGCCCCCCGGACCCCTGCCCTAGATCCGCCACTGGATACTACTCACTTTGGGGTTTGAAACTGCTTTGTTAGATTTGAGCTTTCAATATACCTATCTTTAATGCTTATACTTGTGTATATATTTTAGGTTTGTTACATAAAGAGGCGAAAAGCGGTAACTCAATTCAGTGATGTACGTAGTGGCGATGATCTTAAGGTGAGTAGTGAATCAAATCGATTTTGACGGAGATACTTCACTGTATTTTATCATGATGTAATCTTTAAGACTCATTCTTTTTTGTCGTTGTTTCTTTCATTAGGTGCAAAACTCTAAACCAACGCATGAAGCTTGTGCACTACATTCAACTGACGGCTGACTGTTGGCGGTAGGTGTTTTCAAATTGTTTGCGTTTAATTTGCAGCAGTTTACGCCGATCACGAAAACATTCCCATGTATAAGAACGCTGGCGCATCGTAAAAACGGGGAATCTAAGTTCAAAGTTATTTGGTTTATTTATTTATTTATTTATTTATTTATTTATTTATTTATTTATTTATTTATTAAGCTTCGGCCTACTATTACACATGGGAAATTCAGACAACTAACCATGTCCCCTTCTCCCAAAGAGCATGGCTAGCGACAGTTTTTGACCTGTTTTCGGCGATACAATTGTATGATTTTAATTTCGCCAAGGAATGATGACTATGACTGATTCATTTGTTGCTCTCCTCCTTCAGTCATTTCTTCTTTTTTCACCTAAAATAAGGAGGGGGGGCGGGCCCCCCAGGCCCCTCCCCTAGATCCGCCACTGCGTACACCCAAATAATTTTTAAAAATAGAGCCATACGTACTGCTAGTGTTATTCTGTTAGGGTTATGGCAAGTTACTGAAAAGCTGGCCGAAATTATTCTTCATTAATTTTACCACAATTGTCTCGTTCGCTGATAATTTTCAATTATGCCTTGGCCTCTTCTGGGAAGCCACATTTTTTAGTCTCGGTCGGCGTGAATTTGACACCCAAGATTTGTGTAGATTTGCGTATATTAGTTACAAACTGGTTTGGTCGCTACATGTTCTTGACAGAATTTCTATGTTGATTATCTGAGCATCAATTTGCAATTAAGTCTTTGGTTTCAGTTTACATGTACAATAGCGTTATGATTATTCAGTATTCGTAACTATTTATTATTTTAATGTCTCTAATTTTTTCTTCTCTCTTTGATTTTCAGCAATGATAGAATGACATCGCTCTGTTAAATCGCCATTATAGACGCTGTTTAATGAAACTGCTGCCGGGCTCTCTACGTTGAATTTTTTCTTTGCGTATCCACGCAAACACAATTAATAAAGAATGTGAAAGTTCCATGGATAAATTCTTTTGGCTAGCAGTTGACGCGCGCTTTAAAAAGGGGTCTAAGTCCTTCAGCGAAAAACGTTTGCGGTCTCAGACACACACAAAAAACGAAATCTTTTGGCGGAAAAAAGATCGCAGTTTAAGACGGAATTTTCGTGGTCGCGGAGCAAGTTGGGAAAAAAGTCTGCGCTTTTTGATGGAGTCTAGAAATTTGTCAAAAATAAACTAAGTCTTTTGGCGGCAAAAAATTCTGCGCTTTTAGATGGAGTCTAGAAATTTGCCAAAAATAAACTGTCTTTTGGCGGGAAAAAAATCTGTGCAGTTTGCAGTCCGATTTAGCCCATCAAAAGCCAGCCTTTATTTTGACTTATTACTAGACCCTGTTTGAAAGTGCAGAACGTTTTTCCGCGTCGGCAACCCTGTATAGTCAAAAACTAGTAAAAGAGATAGCCTACATTTCGACTAGTTTCTAGGCCCCTTTTAAAAGCGCAATATTTTTTTCTTATTTTCATTGTTTTTATTCATTACTTTCAAATAAAGCAAGACTCATTTATTGATAACAATGGTTTCTTTATTTCTTCAACTGAATAAAGTGTTAATTAATATACAAGTTGTAAAATTTATTTACTACATTTCTGCTATGGCAAAATCTTTCATTACAAAGCTCGACAACAATATTTAAAATACACAAATGTGAATACAAGAAATTAAGTATAAAACATCTGCATTAATTGCAAAGTTCAACGTAAACAACATATCATTTTTAACAAAATTGTATACGAAATTCGTTACTGGCAAAAATGACTCAATTTAAAATGAAAAAATGGCTTACTCGCATTAAGTAGCAAAACCAAACATTCGACAGAAAATTTAAAATCGTAAAACGAAAACTGTCCAGACACAAATTGCAGCCAGAATTTTTCTTGCAACTTCTCTCGCAATAATATTGCGTTGTAAGTTGACAAGTGTTATCACGCGCATTACCAGCTGTGTTAATAATATAAGTTGCGGTAACGTGTTGCGCGAAGACGACACTCGGCGAGTTCTCCTTGGTGCAACATATTGCTGTAATATATAACATAGGCGGTAATACGTGCAATAACACTTTTCAACTTACAGCACAACATTGCTGCGAGACCAGTTGCAAGGAAAATACTGCCCGTATCACTTCGCATGAAATAGTAGTCTCTAAAACAATAAAATTTCAAAATTTCTTTGTCTTAAGATTCCAGTTGAAACATATTCAACTGGATAATTAAGTAATTTGGTGAGAAACTGAACTTAAACGAGATTTCAAATCATTTCAAGTCTAACTCACCCTAAACGACAATAGATTCAAATTCCCTCACAAAGTTATCAAATGGAAATATAATTTTGACCTCCCGACGGTATCAATTCTATGCAATTCTTTAGGTTTCTTTTGATCCAAACTTGAAAACTCAATTCTCCTTTCTAGCTTTGATACATTTCTTAAATTGCCACTTATGAGAATTTGGTATCACATCTCAAATTGAAGATTTTCTGATCATTTTTTGTCCCAACATCCTGATTTTTTAACTACACATAGAAATTGAACGTCTTGGAAACTGAGGTCTTAGATATTCTACAAATGCTTGCAACGATACCAACTGCGCTTCTTTACCTAATCTAGCACAGAGAACAAACCATACGGGTATGATTCGGTTATCCTCGTCATGTCAGTAGGCATTGTCCCCATGAATCTGTAAGAGTCCATGACAATCCTCGGCCAGCAAGTGAGCAACTCTACAGAGAAACAGAGAAAATCCATGTCACTTATCTATTACCTTTTCACGGGGTCACACATTCAACCTCTGCTGCAATCAATGATTGAAACAAATGCAATCTCAAAATGATATCAAAACTGAATAATTTTTCAGACAGAATGAGTGGAAAAAATGTACGCCTGTTGACCTCGGTCGCGGCAGCTGTACATGTGGATTTCGGTTTGGAGATAAGGAAAAAGAATCAGCATGTCCAAATAAATAAAAATCTCCGTGCAAATCGTATTTTCATGGCCGTACAAGCGGGAATTAGGAGCAGTTATCAAATCTTCATTTACAATCTGACAAAATCGTCGCAAACATTATATCACCAACTTCAAATGAATTATCTAAAATAGTCGTGAAATTTTTTTTTTGAAAGAACGCCAACAAACAAGCTAAAATATCTCAATATTGTCAGTACACGCTTGTTTTTCTCATCAAAAATCGTGCGGATAATTCATTTGCATAACAATGTAAATCAAAATGGCGGCTATTGTAAACACAGCCCACTGAAGGTCATCCAAGGTCACCCATTCATGAATACAGCATTCTGAGCAGATTCCATGACAACGAAAATTCTAACAAAGTTCAGTTTGATCTTTCAAAACAAATTTGGGCAATCTGCTTCTTAAATGAAATAAACTACTAAACTATGGCAAGATTTCCGTATAGCCTTATACTTGATCATGCATACAATTTTGTGGGTCTCGTTCTATTCTACGGAGATTTAACAACTCTGCTGTATAATAACACTAAAAACCATGAACTTACTCACCATAATACGTCTCAGCAAAGCAACTCCTAGTCTTCCTGCAGTTTCAGCACAGAACTACCAAACTACAGAGATTGCATTAACAGCATAAGTAACGAACAAACCACTGAAACATTATGCCATCTTTTAAGAGAAACAGCCATCGTAAAACTTTGTTTCAAATGGCACCCAAACAGCTCAAAGTATGCTACAGTCAAACCCCCGCCAAATCACTTTTCCCGTCATGCAATAACCCTGTGTCGTAACTTGTTTCTTACTCGTACAGACCTTTAGAGAAGTTTTCGATCCTCAAAAGTATGTGTGCCTCCTTTTGTTGTTGCTTACATATTTTTAAAAGTGCTTGTCCCAAAACAAACATTGTATCACGTGATTTTTCCCGCGCTTTTCGGCGGTTGCAAAGTTTTAATTCATTTACTGATTTGTTCAATAGTGTGCGCTACCAGTTTAGGCGTGTTCTGATTGATCATGATTAGAACTGAGAAGTCTCGTTTTTAGTTGGAAAATTTATTCCTCGACTGCACTATTTTGTAATTCTTGAAATTACTGAGTATAAATTACGGCCTGATCAAGATATAAGTTCTCCGCATTACAATATCATCAGAGTAAGTACAGGCATGTAATAAGTCATGTAGGGAGGGGGGGGGGGGGGGTCTTTCGATACGCCTCGGTTGTCTCAGAACTATCATTGAAAGATATTTATACATGTAGCAAACAGTAATGAGAATTGAAACTCTAGGCTTGGAACTTAAAAGGTTTTTGTTTAAGCTTACCCGGGATATTCTGACATTGATAGTCCGTTGATACGTGCATGTCTTTTTATCGTCAGCTTCTCACTCCTGGAAACGGAAAGTTAAAATAGCATTTAATTTTGACGCCTCATTTGCAATTCGTTCTTTTCATCTACACAGTAAGCATGTAGATTTTCATGCAACCCTACTCGTTTTGCAGATATATCATTTCATTACTCAATCATCAGATAACGAAATGTTCTAAATTTAAAGTGCCCTATGTTATCATCATCAGTAATCAATAATAATGGCTGGTTAGAAAATTAGACCTGCAAAGATTGAATATTGCATAGCCTTGTTCCGGGTCGCTTGTAAAACTAACAATAACAACGAAATCTGGATTAGATTTGTCGGGCGCATGAACGTATGAAGCGTATGAAGTCAAACGAACAAAACGCCCAAAGAAGTCACAAAAAAGCCGTAATGTGAATAATAAAAGACATGACAGTTGTCAAACTCTCATGGTCAAACTACGCTAGTTCTAAGGGAAGTTGCTAGCTCACTGATTTAATTCAAATACTTCCATGGCTTAAGGAACGTTTCACGTCGAATGACCTTTTCTAACAAATTTGGTACGACTTTTTCTACAAAAATAAAACATTACTTTCGTGTACAGTTCGTACCTACATTGCAGAAAATACGCAGCGAAGTCTTTGCTTATCGGAAGTACGTGCTCGCGAGCTTTACTTGACAGTAGAAAAGCTCTTGTTCCACATATTTGCTGTGGCGTAACAGTTCCAAACAAACGGTGAATATCCAACCAAAACAAGCTTATTTCCGTAAGCAATGGGAGACAGTAGAAGTAGCTTTCTGCTATCTAAAATTTGAGAAGTGACAACAACCGTAGTCGCCAAAGAACACAACGCGACGAATATTCCACCACATGTAGAATTTGCAATTGTAATTATCAAACGTTTGTGACCACGCACCGCCTACTCCAGTGCTGTTATTTGATTGGTTTGTATTCTCATCGTAATTAAAAGTGGGAAATTCAAAATTTCCCCTGAGAAATGCACTTAGGTCCCATCCACACTAAGCCGAAGAAATTTGAAAACGCAAGTTTTACTCTGAAAACGCATCAAATGTTTTCAGTCCACACTGCGCCGGAGGAATTCAAAAACGCAACGATCACCGGTCATTTTGGATTCGTGCTTGAGGAAAACACGGTCAGAGAAATCACAGGATTATAGCGACTACAACGTTTACGAAGAGCTCCGTTTTCAAAATGTTTTTCGTCCACACGAAAACGAAAAGCCGTTGTTTTCAAATTCCTCCAGCTTGAAGAGCGTTTTCGAAAAGCTCCGTTTTCGTAACGGATTTGTGTGAACGGTAGGCCTAACCATTGAAATAAAGCCGCGTTTTCAAATTTCAACGGCAAACTGTGGACGCCGCCTTAGATTTCAACTGGAAAATTACATTTGAAGACTAAAATCAACTTATTCAATTTTTGGAATTATTTCATTATCCTTAGCTTAAAATGAAAAGATCAAATTATTCACGGACGTTTTAAAGCAAGCAGGATCGAGTATGTTTGGTTTGTATTTATTGCTCTATGCTAACTATTTCTTTTCTTTTCTATGTTAACTTCAATTTTCCACTTCAGTCATCATTATTTTTCATTTCATTGGCTTTCTATGTTTTTGTCCTTGATTTTCAATGTTTGCTTAATTAGAAAACTGAGATTTCAACTGAATGTTCAAAGACGCTTTATTTGCCACGAGTAGTATTTTTTGTAACTAATAATTCCTTTCCTTTCCAGTTTGTTAAGTTCTCGGTAAAACGAGGACCAGATGATGGTGGATGGCGCATGGAGAAACGCGGATTGGAAAATCGGGACCCAAAATTGCGGAAAGAGAAATGAGGATGCAAAATTGCGCATAAAAAAATGCGAAAGGAAAATTACGAATGGCAGTCCGGGAATGGAAAATTGTGGATGTAAAGTTGTGAATGACAGTCCGGGGATCCGTGGATGGAAAATTAGAAATGACAGACAGATAGTCCAGGTATCTGGCCGTTGCGTTGCGTTGCGTTGACAATTCAGGTTCCAAAATAAGCTAAAGGGCTCCAGGACGGCGAGACTGTTAACTTTGAAGATTCATTATTTAAGGTGGCTCAAAATAGTTTCCAGCGGTTAGATTTTGATGGGTCATTAGGGACCGTTCATTTTTTATGAGGNTATACTTAACGTGTGTTGTTCGGAACTCTTGATTATGCCGAAAGCCGGCCTGTTAAGCAAGTTCGTAACATAGGAAAAAAATTATCTAACACTACGATTTTCAAATAAAAAGCCACAGTGCAAATTGCCCTTCTTGGCCAAGTGTCAAGAAAAGGCAGATTTTACGAAACTTAAATAGGTGGAATACCTTACAAATGCCCGACAAGTAACACTCGGCTCATTTTTTGTATCTTAAATGGAGAATATCTTATTTCACTCTAAATCTGGCTTAATTACCCGTATATGGTGCTGAACGTAGTTCAGTTTTTAACAGAAATGTAATGGCCACATGACCATGGCCAGCTGTGTTGAAACAACAGTCATTTTGCTGATTTGTTCCGTTGTTATAAGATTCTCCCCCTCCTCCACAGCTGTTGGCATGATCACTTCCACTGCTTCCACCAGAGTAACCTCCGCCGCCACCACCTGCTACAGTTCCCTCGCCACCACCACCACCGCCAAATCCTCCGTCAGCATTGTTTAAGACGGCTCTTCCACCCACCCCTTCCTGAAGAAATCCCTTGCCTCCTTCTCCGCCATTTCCAGTGGTACCATTAAAATTCTTTCCACTTCTTCCACTGGAGTAAAATCCACCACCACCACCGCCTAGAGGAAAAAGAAATATAGACATAATGCAGCATAGTGTGTATCTCTATTATACCTTGAACGGACGTTTTTCACACGTTTTAGTACCATATGTAGTATTCCCTTGTTATCTCTTTGTAGCGGAGCTCCGGCGGCCCAAGCGGCTCCCACCGCAGCACCATATGTACTCATAGGAACCCATGAATAGCTTTCCTCATGGTCATCATGACTAGTGGTATTACTCGAGGGCGCGTACGCATGACGACGACGACGACGTCGCGCAACAGGGCGGCCATATTCCAGCTGGTAGGTTGACCGAGACATGAATCCTTGGTTTACAGCGTACATCTTTGACATTGGACATCGATGTTATGGTCAACTGACACCTGTCAAAACAAGGTATCCGCTGACCTGTAACACGTGGTCATATCGCGGACTCAAGTTTAGAGCTTGTAAATCACTCGCCTAACGCCACGTGTTTTACAAGCTTTTCTCGTGTTCTCCCAACATCCCGCTGGGGGTTATTGCGCCGGTAAACCCATGGAAAGAGTGGTCTATTGCCTAAATAAAATACCAGCGAGAAGCTGACGTTTTCAGAACATTATTAACGAGCAAAATGCAACGTTTAANCACCACCTGCTACAGTTCCCTCGCCACCACCACCACCACCAAATCCTCCGTCAACATTGTTTAAGACGGCTCTTCCACCCACCCCTTCCTGGAGAAATCCCTTGCCTCCTTCTCCGCCATTTCCAATGGTACCATTAAAATCCTTTCCACTTCTTCCACTGGAGCAAAATCCACCACCACCACCACCTAGAGGAAAAGAAATATAGACATAATGCAGTATAGTGTGTATCTTAAGCGGTATGATACCTTGAACGGACGTATTTCACACATTTTAGTACTACATGTAGTATTCCCTTGTTATCTCTTTGTAGCGGAGCTCCGTCGGCCCAAGCGGCTCCCACTGCAGCACAATATGTACTCATAGAAACCCATGAATCGCTTTCCTCATGGTCATCATGACTAGCGGTATTGCTCGAGGGCGCGTACGCACGACGACGACGACGACGTCGCGCAACATGGCAGCCATACACCTTATTCCAAAATGGCCGCCATTTTAGTATTCTTTTGTTTACTTGCAAATTAGCCCTTGTTGCCTCGTTCTTAAACTCGAAATTCAAAAGAATATTTTCCTTTAAAAGAGGCAGCAAGGGCTAATTTGCAAGTAAACAAAAGAATACTAAAATTGCGGCCATTTTGGAAGAATAAGGTGTATACTCCAGCTAATAGGTCGACCGAGAGATGCACCCTTGGCTCACAGCGCACTCTTTGACATTAGACATCGATGTTATGGTCAACTGAAACCTGTCAAAACAAGGTATCCGCTGACCTGTAACACGTGACCATATATAAATCACTATAAATCACATTATAAATCACTCGCCTAACGCCACGTGATTTACAAGCTTTTCTTGGGTTCTCCCAACATCCCCCGGGGGGTTATTGCGCCGGTAAACCCATAGAAAGAGTGGTCTATTGCCTAAATAAAATACCAGCGAGCAGCTGACGTTTTCAGAACATTAACCTTGTTAACCTTGTAAATAGCGCCTTTGAACCCTTGGGAAAGGGCGCTTCAGAAATGTTATTATTATTATTATTATTATTATTATTATTATTATTACTAACGAGCAAAATGCAATGTTTAACGTTACTTTCTGTAATGAGCTCAACGATAAGATTCCAGTAAAAGCTGGTGGTGCTAAATTGAAATTGATTACATAGTATAATCTTACCGGAAGTACCATCATCGGCCGTCTGTGCTCCATGTCCATTGCTGCCTCCCGACCATGATTTGTACCCAGGGTTCCCGGTTGTGCTCGTACTGGCATCACATCCTGCATGTCTTGAAGATACCATATCTATGCCTCCTCCACCTCCAGCTATTATCAACGGCGTGTTGCTTCCTCTCACTACAAAGGTTCCGCCACCGCCNNNNCCCCCCCCCCCCCCCCCCCCCACCACCACCACCACCACCAAATCCTCCATCGACATCGTTTCTATTGGCTCTTCCACCCACTCCTCCCTGAAGAAATCCCTTGCCTCCTTCTCCGCCATATCCACCATTAAAATTCTTTCCACTTCTTCCACTGGAGTAAAATCCACCACCACCACCGCCTAGAGGAAAAAGAAATGTAGAAATAATGCAGTATAGTGTGTATCTTAAGCGGTATTATACCTTGAACGGACGTTTTTCACACATTTTAGTACTATATGTTGTATTCCCTTGTTATCTCTTTGTAGCGGAGCTCCGGCGGCTCAAGCAGCTCCCACCGCAGCACCATATGTACTCATAGGAACTCATGAATCGCTTTCCTCATGGTCATCATGACTAGCGGTATTACTCGAGGGCGCGTACTCACGACGACGACGACGACGTCGCGCAACATGGCGGCCATACTCCAGGTAATAGGTTGACCGAGACATGCAGCTTTGGTTCACAGCGTACATCTTTGATATTGGACATCGATGTTATGGTCAACTGACACCTGTCAAAACAAGGTATCCACTGACCTGTAACACGTGACTATATCGCAGGCTCACGTTTAGAGCTTGTAAATCACTCGCCTAACCCCACGTGATTTGCAAGCTTTTCTCGGGTCCTCCCAACATCCCGTGGGGGGTTATTGCGCCGGTAAACCCACAGAAAGAGTGGTCTGTTACCCAAATAAAATACCAGAGAAGCAGCTGATGTTTTCAACTATGTTTTCCCAGAACATTATTAAGGAACAAAATGCAATGTTAAACGTTACTTTCTGTAATGGGCTCAACGATAAGATTCCTGTAAAAGCTGGCGGTGCTAAATTGAAATTAATTACATTGTATAATCTTACCTGAAGTACCATCATCAGCCGTCTGTGCTCCATGTCCATTGCTGCCTCCCGACCATGATCTTTCCCCAGGGTTCCCTGTTGTGCTGATGTTGGCATCGCATCCTGCATGTCTTGAGGATACCATATTTACGCCTCCTCCACCTCCAGCTATTATCAACGGCGTGTTGCTTCCTCTCACTACAAAGGTTCCGCCACCGCCCCCTGAACCATAGTCATAATTAATGTTAATTCCTCCTTCCTGACCAACAAGTATTTGAATGATTTCACCTTTGCATAGGCTGAAAGTTCCGATCATTCTTGCACCTCTTCCTCGGTACTGAGAACTTTTAGCGTGATTATCGTATCCCCCAGCCGCACCTACTGCTTTTATTTGATAATCACCAGTGCAGGGCACAGTCCATTGTTGAATACAACTAGACAGTGTAACTTGACCGTCATGATCATGGCCTATGTAGTGACTACCAAGTGTTGTTGGACCATTTCTTCCACTCGCATTGAGATTTGTAAAGACTGCACTGAAAGCTGGGTAATAACGAGAGAAAAGTTAATTGTATAGTTCGATTAAAATGACTTGATTCCTTGTACAGATACTTTCCATCAAATTGGAAAGTAAAGCTCTTTAATTAATTATTTATTCAATTAATGCTGCCTCTCCTTTCATTTTCAGGCGTTGTTTTTTCACATTGAGTAAATAAGTTAATTGCCCGTTGCGTGATAGGATCTCCGTTCGGCCTCTGATCTATACCCCAGGGAATTTCAATTGACTACAGTAAAAACGCGCGTTTAAGAACCTCGATGTTTTGAAGTCTGGCATAATTGGGGTAGTTAATGCGAATTTACGGTACATGGGTTCTTAATGTCTACGAAGGATATATAGTTGTTGATTACTAAATCAATAATATATATGACAAACAAGGTGGAAAAGAGTTGTTTAAAGGACGAAAACTTTAAGCCAAAACTAACTCCGCAGTGAGTAATTAATAACGCAAATGCGATTTTAAAACTACTCTCCGGAACAATTGCCCGAGGAATTAAAGCAATTGCTAAGAGAAATATTTGCTCTGCGAAAAAGCTGTGTGTATTCTTAGTTTTTAGCGTAAAAATACTATTTCGAGATACTTCTAGCTCTCCAAAGTCTTCGCAAAATAACCCAACCAGGTATCAGCTATACCACTTAGTTGCAACCCGTTCCTCAAGTCTCTGAATCACTTTAACCTGCGAGCAGGTTGCTTTTCAACCTTGTTGTTTGTACATCGTGAGTGTTCTTTGAGGAGCATAAGAATACGTCGGCTGGGGGTGGACATGACAGATCATTAAAAATATTCAGGTGTCGTGGTTACCCGCAAAGAAGGTCTTATCCGGCACCCCTGCGCAGAATACTTCCTTATCGTCATCAATCTCGTCATCATTTAACAAATAGCGTATACTCAGAAATACATGGGGAAGAAATTGATAGTTACCAGTACAATTGATACCATCTACAATAAATCCATCCTTGCAGCTACAATTGAAGGATCCCTCAGTGTTTTTACAGATTGCATGGAGACTGCAGTTGTCTGTTTTGATGGCACACTCGTCGATATCTAAACAAACAAAGATAATTAAGAGGCCATTTCCCTATGGAGTTCCATCCCCAAAGTTGATCACAACATTCAACTTGACAGTCTAACAATTAACTTGGCAAACATCAACATCATATTTCACNTAATTGTATAGTTCGATTAAAATGACTTGATTCCTTGTACAGATACTTTCCATCAAATTGGAAAGTAAAGCTCTTTAATTAATTATTTATTCAATTAATGCTGCCTCTCCTTTCATTTTCTGGCGTTGTTTTTCACATTGGGTAAATATGTTAACTGCTGTTGCAGGGCAGAGCAGTAGTATTAATTTTCTGATAGGCACTTGGAAGTTGGAGGGAATTATAGTGTTCTATATAAAGTCCTCAAAATATTTCATCAATTTTGAACAGGAAAAAAACTCAAAAGGAAAACTGAGCAAAATTATTGAAACGTTTTACGTGATAGGATCTCCGCCCGGCCTCTGATCTATGCCCCAGAGATTTTCAATTGACTACACTAAAAACGCGCGCGTAAGAGCCTAAATGTTTTGAAGTCTGGTAGTTAATGCGAATTAGGGTACCTGGGTTCTTAGTTGGTTCTTAATGTCTACGAGGGATATGTAGTTGTTGATTACTAAACCAATAATTTCTTACAAACAAGGTGGAAAAGAGTTGTTTAAAGGACGAGAACTTTTAGCCAAAACTAACTCCGCAGTGAGTCATTAAGTAATAACTTGCAAATGCGATTTTAAAACTACTGTCAGGACCAATTGCCCGAGGAATTTAAGCAATTACAAAGAGAAATATTTGCCCTACGAAAAAGCCTTGGGTATTCTTAGTTTTTAGCGTAAAAATACTATTTCGAGATACTTCTAGCTCTCCAAAGTCTTCGCAAATAACGTAACCAGGTATCAGCTATACCACTTAACTTCTAACCCGTTCCTCAAGTCTCTGAATCACTTTAACCAGCGAGCAGGTTGCTTTTCAACGCTAATGTTTGTACATCGTGAGTGTTCTTTGAGGAGCATAAGAATACGTTGGCTGAGGATGGACATAGAAGCTAATTAAAAATATTTAGGTGTCGTGGTTACCCGCAAAGAAGGTCTTATCCGGCCCCCGGGCGCAGAATACTTCGTTATCGTCATTAATTTCGTCATCATTTAACAAATAGCATATGCTCAGAATTACATGGGAAAGAAGTTGATAGTTACCAGTACAATTGATGCCATCTACAATAAATCCATCCTTGCAGCTACAATTGAAGGATCCCTCAGTGTTATTACAGATTGCATGGAGGCTGCAGTTGTCTGTTTTGATGGCACACTCGTCGATATCTAAACAAACAAAGGTAATTACTAGGCCATTTCCTAGTTGCGCCTTTGCCTCTGAGTGAAACCAAGTCTTCGCGCACAACTAATTACATGAAAATAGTTTTCACTCGCGCTTTTATTTTATTTTTATACAAATCAGGCTCATTTTTATTTGAAAGGTTTTGCACGAGGACTAGTTTTGA